CTTAATGCTCCTCAATTTCACTTAAATCTGTATCTCCTAGGGTTTTCAATCCAACTCCCGAATTTTTTGCAGGTTAACAAATCGGCAGGTCCATTCGACGCTCTGCTTTGCGTCGGTCAGTTTTTCCCCGATTCTCCGGAGCTTCTAGATGAGTTTTTGGATTACGTTGAAGGCAGAGCTCAAGTTCCGATTCCTACTTACTTCATCGGCGACTATGGCGTCGCCGCTCCTAAAGTCTTATCGACGACTTCGAGAAAAGCTGAAAATCAAGGGTTTAAGATGGATGGACTCGAGGTTGCCCACAATTTGTTTTGGTTAAGAGGAAGTGGAAAGTTCACTCTTCATGGTAAATGTGTTTTTTTGGTATTTTGTATCAGAAGAAAGATTCAATTTAACACTTCTTTTGTTGCTGATATGATTTGGTCTATGTTATAGGTCTGTCTGTTGCTTACTTATCTGGTAGGCAATCATCTGAAATCCAATTTGGGAAATACAGTCAAGATGATGTTGATGCTCTTCGTGCACTTGCTGAGGAATCTGGAGTGGTTGATTTATTCTTAACATATCCTTTTTTGAATTTTGTATTGCTTGATGAGATTGGAACTGTGGTTGTTCTGGTCTTTTCATTACTTGTCGTCCTTAACTAGTTTTATACTAATGAATGGCCTATGGGAGTCACGAAGAGAGCTGCGGTTGCTGATATTCCTGCAGACGTTTCTGATTCCTCTTGTAGTGATTTCACTGTTTCGGAATTGGTGATGGAACTTAAACCTCGGTATGTGATTTTCGATTCAGTTGTAATTGTCTTTATTAGGAGTTTTTTTTTTTAATGATTTGGGAACTTATTTGTTGTTTCTGTTGTGGCAGCTATCACATTGCAGGTTCTATGGGGGTGTTTTATGCCCGTGAACCTTACCTCAACGTTGATTCTAATCACGTAACACGATTTCTTGGTCTTGCTCAAGTTGGAAATAAAAACAAACAGGTGTGTTCTTCAATAATTCCGGTCACATGAGCTTGGTATCTCACTATTTTGGTTCCTTTCTGTTTGATCACTTACTTCCTGATTATTTCTGATATACGTATCCATTGCTATCTTTTTGGTTCCTTTCTGTTTGATCACTTGCTTCCTGATTATAACTGTATGCATGGTCCTCCTAAGATTGAAATATATCAAATCGTTCTTCGCAAGAACATGACTCATATATCAAATGGTTCTTTTGTTTGTTTTCTGTGGATTTTTGTTTCTCGATCATCATGCAAAATTCGATAACCCCTTTTTCCTCTATGCAGAAATTTCTTCATGGGCTTTCTCCTACACCATCATCCACCATGTCACCATCAGAGCTTAGTGCAAAGCCTCCAAACACTACACTCTGTCCTTATAATTTACAAGAGGGAGCTACTGAATCGAAGAAGAGGTCAAACGAAAGTGACTCTGATTTACAATATTGGAGGTATGATGTTGCGAAGCGGCAAAAGAATGGATCTGAAGGGGAAAAGCTCTGTTTCAAATTTGTATGCTCAGGGTCCTGTCCTCGTGGGGAAAATTGCCATTTCCAACACAACGCTGAAGCAAGAGAACAGTGTCGCAGAGGTGTTTGTCTTGATCTTATCATCAAAGGTAAGTGTGAAAAAGGCCCAGAGTGCAGCTACAAGCATGAGTTTCAGGATGAAAGTATACAAAGGAAACCCAGATCTGAAAATGCTAATAGGTATTTAATGATTTAACTTTTGACCACTTCTTGCAAAATAGATGCCATTTTGACTAGGGCTTTAGACAGTAATTGTTGTTGTTTCAAAATTTTAATTCTCAGGTCGAGAGAATGCTGGTTTTGTCTATCAAGCCCAAGTGTGGAGTCCCATTTGATCGTCAGTATTGGGGAAAGTTTTTATTGTGCTCTACCCAAAGGTTCACTAGTTGATGACCACATATTGATAATCCCAATCGAGCATTTGCCCAATACTCTGCTTTTATCTCCTGAAGGTGAATCAGAGCTCAGTAGATACCAAAATGGTCTGAGAAATTGTTATAAGAGCCAAGGAAATGATGCAGTTTTCTTTGAATTGGTCTCGAAACGTGTTTCTCATGCTAACCTCCAGGTAAGAAAAGTTCCGGTTGCGAATCAGTAAGATCTTTTGAATTTAAAGTTGCTTACATTAGTTTGAATTTTCTACTTTCTGTAGGTTGTTCCAGTTCCATCATCCAGAGCTCGTCTTCTGCCTAATATCTTTAGTCTGGCTGCTGAAAAATTGGGATTTAAGCTTGTGACAAATAAGTGTATGCTGATTTTCTCTTCTCTATCTTATTGAATTAATGGACCCTGTCTTTATAACTCAGAATATTGCTGGGTTCTTCCTTTGCATTCTGAGTTACTCTTCTTACTGAATCATGATGTCTTTATTGCAGTTAGTGATAGTTCTGATGGCAGAAAATATCTGCAGAAGGAATACAATGCAGCTTTGGGTCTCTTCTATGTGGAACTTCCTGATGGAACTGTGTTATCACACACTCTGGAAGAGAACGAAGTATTTCCTGCACAATTTGGGCGGGAGGTAAGACATTATATGTAGTAGTAGTACTATGGAACTGTGATAATGTACTTTTAAGAAATTCTCCGACGATAACACAAGTCTAGACGCATGAAGTATCTTTGCTACATTGCTTTAGACCAAAACTCTCACTTGCTTACAACATTATGTTCGATGTAAAACAGAGAGATCATCGGTTTAAAGTTTTTGATTCAGTTATATAGATTACATTAAATTCCATTTTAAATTTTAAGAACCAGAAGATAATAATGTAGACTGGATTATCCGGTATATTCTGTTGTCTAGAAAATGACTTTGGACTTTACAGGTTCTTGCAGGGTTGCTAAAGATTCCAGATAGAGCCGACTGGAGGAACTGTAAGATTAGCCAAGAAGAGGAGGCAAAGCTGGCCGAAGAATTCAAGAAACAATTTCAAGAATTTGACCCTTGCCAATAACCTTACTGAACAAAAAGTTACGATTAGATGTTACCTTGTGCGCATCAATCAAGCTAAACTCAATGTCCAGTGCACTCAGGTTTTCTGCTCATGTTCCATTATACCAAATTTCTACCATCTTTTAAATGATCGTGCTTCGTTCTAAACGGCCTTTCAACTTGTTTTGTTTCTCTAGGTCGGAAGCTGAATCATGCCATGCATCGTAATAGAAGGCCTCATTTGTCTCTCCATATACAGAAACAGGTTCATCATTAGTGTTCTCTGTTTTGGCTAGTTAAAAGCTAACAGTCTTCCTTGAGTTTCCAATTTTTTTTAGCTTGTCAACTTCTTCTTTTTTCCTTGTAAACACTTTTGATATATTATTGTTTGTTGAGATGTGAGAGTGATCACCACAAAAACACACAGTAATGGTGACATTTACTTGACCTGTTTTTCACCTAAACTAGTCACTGTCCTTGATCCTTTTTATTTTTCTTGTTGGTTGGTAAAAATAAAGACTTGTGTATTTGTTTACAGTAATCTCTATCAATTTTAGCCAAGACACAAACATACAAACAAAAATATCAGGTAATATCTAGTCAATGTGGTTTCAGAACCAATCTTTGATCACTTTGGTAGAACATGGTTTGTTCAAAACAGTGAAAATGAAGCTGGTTTTAGTGAATCAGATTCAACCTCTAGATCTGAAGAATGGGTACCTTGAGAATGAGGTAAAACAGATGGTAACAAAAGAGAGAAACATCATATCTTTCATCTTTAAAGTTCTTGATGTTTTCTTTTGGTTCTTGTTGTTGCAGCTTTAGCAAAAGAGTAAAGAAAACAAAAGAAAAAAAGCATCATCAAAACTGGTAAAGAACTCTTAAGTAAACCCTCCTCCTATAAAAAAACTTATATAGATTCTGTCTATTACTCTTCCACATGGCTCTCTCTTAGGTCATTCCTTTAAATGTGAAAGTGAATTTTGATGGTCCCATTGTTTAGGTCTGTCTCTATATAACTCTCTTCAAATGCATCAACTACATACTAAACTGTTTAGTAATTTCGGCTTAATTGTATTTCATTTTCCCTTAGATTCATCTACCCATTTTGTCACCTGGACTTATAAGTCGGATCCAGTTCAGAGTGGAATATATTTATTAAATTCGGTGGGTATATTAGTAATTAATTGTCACGACTCGACAGTTTTTTTTTTGGGACCATTATACCGAAAATTCAGAAAATATAATATCTTCTATATGTTTAGTATAGGGAGGCTATAATACA